GTACTCGTAAACGTTTTGATGGAAATCATTTTCTGCTTTCGCTGCGATCGCGCGCGGAGCACATGAAAAGTGAGAAATATCAATCGTGTTTTTCGCGCCAAAAATTTACGCTCTGGTTCACATTCCTGCAAATGAAACAAGTCGACCTCTTGCGACTTACGTCGCTCGCGCTCACCCTCGCGACTTTGTCGCTCGAAGATTACCCTCTCGCTTCGCTCGAGGGAGATAAATAAGTCAAGGAGTAAGAGAAGGTCGACTTGTGGCAAGTCTATTTCCTAACGTATAGGCGTTCATATCTAATCATTACCTGGCCCGCCTAGGCTCTTCAAAATAGAGATCAAAATGGATGACAAAGGAGGAGCAAAGTTCCTTTATTTAAGAGAGAAATGGTAGAAGCCATATTTCTACTAAACATATTGTTCTATTTCTCTCTGCATTGACTGAGAATCACCTGAGATAAAGCTCTAATTGCATATTCTTAGACTTGTGTTCATCGTCAATTCAGCTGTTGGTCATGCAAGCCTTGCAAATGGCACTAACACCTGTCTAAAAAAAAAAAATACATTTTCACCGGTGGCAAATTAATTTAGCTCTTATTCAAAGTCGAGTAACTTGGCAGTTATGACAAAATTAGTTGGCAATTATCTTATTGACAGTTAGTGATGATTTTGACAGGGTACATCCTAGCCATGTCATTTGTGATAGTTATCACTCAAGAAGGTGAGGTATGTATATGTACGTCGTCTTAACCTTGAAGGGGCAGTATCACGAGAAGTTTTTTGTGCAAACTATGGTAGAATTATAAGGGTGCACTCACTGATCAACAAAATAACCTTTAAAAGACAAAAAAAAGCATAAAATTAAATCTCTAAAAGGTCAATGATTTTTAGTGATTTTCCTCCAAGTAACATTGTCAAACTTGAAAACGTCGGCCCGACGTTTTCAAGTTTTAGACCACTTCTTTCCTACTCGTCCGTAGGCACAACAGTTGTAAACAACGTTCGTGACTAGTACGGTACATTTTAGCAACTACTAGTGGATATC